AGTGACACTCGTAATCCTAAAATATGTCTTGTTGCATGCTCATCTCTAATACTGCCTTATATTAAGAACCTATACATACTTGTCCACTGCAGTACAATGAAATAAAACTGCAGTTCTTGGAGCATGGAGAAAGTGCTTATCTCAGATGTGTATTCTCTGTCATTTTGCTCTCCTTGCCATATTTTGCCCATGACTAATCAGAGTCAACTTTGAGAGTTAGAGTCACTATATGTCAGAAACTGCCTTCTATCTCACTTTTATTCTGTCCAATTAACACAAAATATACAGAAATCTGTTCTTCACTCGGTTTTCAGATACCTAATATTTTATTATGATTATGGAGGACTCAGAAAGTAAAAACAGTATTCAACTATCTACCTTTACAATATAATCTGGTAGCCTCTCACATGTTTAAGAAATTGTATAAGGGAGTTCTGCTTCATCATATGATGTCTGTTTCACATGAGAATTTCTAATGTAGATAGAGGAACTTAATTACCAAGGAAGCGAGATCCTTAAATCGAAATTGTCTTCATTGTTCAACCATGTTCATGGTAAATGTATTAATATATAACTAGGCCAATCTCATTCTCTGCTATTTGCCAGTAATGTAATTAAGGATAGATATTTAGAGGTTTGACCACCCTACAAGCATTCATGCTTACCTAATCTTACTTGCACTAGAAGTTTTATGACAAGCAAGTTCTTGGATGAGTGCTTTTAAATGTTTTCCAGGACTTTTTGATTGAACTAAACTAAGAATAGGGGAAGTGTGGTTTAAAGTTTTACTTCTGTTGTGCCTTATCTTTCAAAATGTTAAGATAGCCTAAAAAGGGTTTGGAATAGTTTTTGCATTTTGTATTATAATTTTCTTCTTCCAAAAAAGTCTCTGCTGCCATCATATTTTGTCAAGCATTTGAACATTTAATATAGATTTTTTTAAATCAAACTATAAAGAACAACCAACAGAAAATTCTAGGATAGTAACAAGTTTATGACTTACATCGGTGACTAAAAAGCAATTTGGACTGAAATCTTTAAAAGCACATAAGAAATTGGTGATACTGAGTTCACAAAATCATCTAGATGCTCCTCTATAATTTAGATACAGATTTTAGATATTGGGTATTTGGGTACAAATGAGTACTTTTTAAAGCCAAATATTTATAGACTTTATCTTGTAAAATAAAGATTATTTTTAGAGTCACCAATTTTCTAATATGTAACTGAACAAATTTTGTATAACAGACACTCAAATGTAACTTACATTGTAAAGCTTAACACAGTCTAAGCATTGTCTTTTATCTTTTATTTCTGATTTTCAAGGGAGAGAATCTGGTCGGCGCAGCCTGCATCAGATACCCACTTTCAGCCTTCCCTTCCCTACTATCCTGTCAGGCATGATTGTGGAAGGATCGTCTGATACAAACATGACAATCCAGGCTCACTCTTTCTTGGGAACAGTAGTTGAGACTCTCTAAAACAAGAAAGTGGGAGGTGGGCAAACAACCTAAATATTTCTAGGATAGATTTGTATTGTTTTTGCTACTGTAAAAGCACTGGAAAGAAAATATGTTCACAGTTGATAAGGGCTGTTTGATAAACACCGAAACTCTGGCAACTGATTCAGCCTGGCAGATGTAAAATCATTTGCTGAGAATATTTGAGTTGTTAGGTTCTTAGTTTGTGGTATCCAAATTTTTCATTTTAAGGTATGTCGTAACTGAAGATAAAAGTTCTATCAGAATATTTGAGTTGTTAGATTCTTTAGTTTGTGGTATCCAAATTTTTCATTTTAAGGTATGTCCTAACTGAAGATAAAAGTACTATCAGAGTAATTATATGCTGAGAACAAAGCCCTGACTGTTCATGAAAACTGCAGTTGAGAATAATGAATAATTTTAAATGTTTGAGAAACTAGTGCTGATGAAATCCAGGGGTGATCTGCCCATGATCATAAATTCTTTGTCCATTCTAGAAGACTCTAATTAAACAGTGTACACTGGGACGCTAATGTTTACTTTACCTCTCTTTTTATTTTTCAAAACCTGTAGTTCTTTCCTTCATTATTAATGCCAAATGCTTTTCTTTGAAGAAAAAATGATGAAGCAGCAACTGACTAGAAAATTTCAAATGTAAGATATGTGGTCAGTCTTCACCATCATTCTTGAGAGTAGGAGCTTCAATTTCTCCTCTCACCATTAATGAGAGAGAAAGAGACAGGCAGAGAAACAGAAAAAGAGAAGTAAAATTCTAAAGACGAAACTACAAACTGGGGCAATTGAGAAACTGTCATGTCAATAAATAATTATAATTTTTCCCCTTCTACAGTGATAACTACTGAGTTTTGGGAGGGGGGAATATTAGTTGCTTGTGGCATAACCGTTTAAAACTACGACTCTTCCATTTTTTAAAAGACGTCTAGGGGAAATGCCTCTATTGAACACATAAATATCCCTTCCATGGTTATCAATCAGTGATTGTTAAGGGAGGGAAGACAGATTGCCTGGACTTCTTATAAACTAGTCTTCACATTCACTCTCCTTCTAGCCTTTCTTTACATTGTTGCCAAAGTACAAATGTGATTTGTTACTTCTCTGCTTAAAATACTTTCTGATTTTTATTGTTCTAGGATAAAGACTATCTACTTTCAACTACAATAAAGACTAATACTATCAACATGACCTACAAGGCCTTGCTTTGTCTGGCCTCTGCATTCATTTCCAAGCTCATCTTATCTCATGCTATACTTTGCTCTCTAAATTCTGCTGACACTGGCCTTCCTTTATTTCTCCTTATGGGCCATGTGCCTCCCTTCTATAAGCCTAACATTCTGCCTGAAATGTTTATCCAACCCACCTCCATTCCATCCCTTTGCCTAATTAAGTTTTATTAATTCTTCCAATTTTAACTCAGCTATCACTTGCTTTCTCAGTGAAAACCTTCCCTGTCCTCCCCAAGTTGATATATCCTATCAGAGTATCCTATCCATCTCTTTCAGAACAGTTTTCACAGTTGTTTTATGTTTATTTGAAGAGTTATTTGATTAATAACAACATTTAAGAATATCTTCCTCAGACACGTGGGTGGCTCAGTTGGTTAAGTGCCTTCGGTTCAGGTCGTGATCTCAGGGTCCTGGGATAGAGCCCCACATTGGGGTCCCTGCTCAGCGGGGAGCCTACTTCTCCCTCTCCCTCTGCCTCTCCCCCCTACTTGTGTGCTCGCTCGCTCTCTCTCTCTCCCAATCTCTCTAAAATAAATAAAAATCTTAAAAAAAAAAGAACATCTTCCTCTATAGACTCTATATGAAGAATTATCTTTTTAATTGTACTTTTAAATTATTGGGGGGGTGTATATTTTTTCTTTTCTTTTTTCTTTAAGATATATGGGCCTTTATTTTTAAAATTTCTGTGGCAAATTTGGAGAGTACAGGAAGCACAATGTGTTAAACATCATAACATTTATTGGCAGGAACAGATATTACTGACATATAATAAATAATAACATTAAATGGGATCTCACATTTCACACAAATTTAAATACCTTGAGAATAGTTAGAAGACTAAGTTCATAATAATTATTTAATCTACCTCTCTGGTTTTATCATCTACCACTTCTTGAAATATACTATGCCTTAGTTGGGGGCATATATATATATATTTTTTTTTTTTACTTTAAGATCATATGATATTACTAAATATTTTAAATTAATATATGCTTTTAATTCCAAAATTAAAATACTCAAACCATATGAACTCTTCTAAAGTGCATATATAATAACACATTACCCCCTTAGAGAACATGAAATTGGAAAGAATGGAAATGTCAACTAAGTTCACTTGAGAAATAGCCAAGAACAAAAGGGTTTCCAATCAATGCTAATGACCTAACAACTCTAAAGAGAGTCCTGCTTAGCAGTCACTTGCCCAAAGTAGATAGGTTTTGCAGTATCAAGTTAGATCTGAGAACTTCTGATTGACTATATTACTTTCAGAGCTGTAAAATAATCATGGTTATAATAATGAACTGAAAGCAATGAATATTGTGCAACCCATGGGATTGCCACTGATTTGCTGCATCCTGATCACTTTTGCAATACTTCATTTAATCAGGAAAATCTTTTTTTAAAAAAAAGAAAAAAGATTTATTTATTAGAGAGAGAGAGCACAAGCAGAGGGACCGAGAGGGAGAAGCAAGGTTTCCCCTTGAGTGGGGAGCCCAATGCGGGGCTCAATCCCAGGACCCAGAGATCATGACCTGAGCCGAAGTCAGATGCTTAACCAACTGAGCCACCCAGGCGCCCCTCAGGAAAGTCTTCTCTAAATTTTCCACTCATCTTCTTCCTTTCTTTTTTCCATTCCGTTTTCATATTTAACTTTTTTTTTTTTTCCATAGCGGTACCTTACTTCATTTAGATAAAATACTCACGTGAGCATTCAAGATGTTAAGAACCGTCAGGGGAAAAAAAAAAACAAAAACCAGAAGTAAAACTAATGAATCACTGAAATAGTAATTAGTAAAAGCTTATTGTGCACATACCAAAAAAGAGTCTACAAATCAGGAGCACTCAAACAAAAACATGGAATGAGGCTCAAGGGTATATTGTTATAAAGCAGCTTATACAATGTGGAGGCAGTGACTTTATTTTTCAGTTCATTTATATTTTTTATTTTCTGAAAATTTTAGAATTTTCTTAAATGAGAGGGAATTGGTTAGGGGTTACCTCATATCAATTTGGGGCAAAAATTTAAGTTTTGTTTATGATTTTCAGAGGCATAAGAAGTGACCAAGGTTAAGTTAGCTTCACTTGTCTTGCAAAATAAGCCAAACTAAACTTTGCTTGTATGACTAAACTAGTTTTCCCTGCTCAGGGAATTTTTAAATCTGGTTTCTGTTTGTATTTGATTTTAATGTACTATCTTCTGTGAATCGATTCCCTTTGTGAGTTTCCCTCACACACTCAAGTCTACACACAAATAATTTTTCCTTAATCTTCTCAGTTTTATTCGGGGTCATATTTCAGGAAGCATCAACATTCCATTTAGTGCTGCCTTCACTACCGAAGGGGAGCTTACCCAGGGCCCTTTCACTGCTGTGCTCCAGAGCTTCAAAGGGAAGGTCATTGTCATCGTGGGGCATGTGGCAAAGCACACAGCAGAGGTAAGTGTACTTAGAAACATCATATGCACATAATGATGTGTTATCTACCTGTCTATCATAATGGTTTGTCTAAGAGTATATTTCTTCAGGAGCTGGTCACAAATCAAATGAGCTTTGAAGTTCTGACTATATGCTTACACTGAAGAGTTTGTTCACCTTTTCCCAGTAAAAGAATTAACGCTTTTTCCTCGGTGTGCAACATGAAGATCAGCAGTAAACTTAGAAAGATCCAAATGATAACCTAAGATGTTTTCTTGTTTTTGTTTTTGTTTTTGAACTTCTTTCTGAAATTGCATAGAAGTAGCTTCAGTACCTTCCATGGGAGAAGCACACTGGGGCTTGATTGGGGGCTCTGAAAGCTGATCATGATAGAATTTATTGGATCTGGGGATTTCATTTACTATAGGCTCAAAGCTTTTTGATGATAGAGAATTCAGGAAAGGATACCAACTTTCAGATACAAAGGAGTATATGAAAAAATAAAATGTCTTCCCTCTTCCCTGACCATGTTCTTAGCAAACTGAAAATAAAACAAAGAGTAGCTTATAGAGATCAAAAATATCACTTATTTTTTATAAAAGACAAGTTGGAGAATATAGTTTAAGATGAGAGCCCAATGGTCTTGTTCACAAATCCCCCAGGATTGGCGAACATATCCAGATGTAGGCAACATTGAACCAGGACAGTCCCTTTTTCTAAAGGGAAGGAAGAATCTGCTCCTGGAAAAGTAGCAGAGGTAGTTTGCTCCCTGCAGGTAGCTTATTCCCAAAAGGAAGAAGGGCAAGGCAGAGCCTTCCCAAATTTACCAATCAAATGAATCAGTCTTCCACTACTCTGGGCATAGTGAATAGAGGGACAAAAAGAAAGTTAGGAATATACTTAGAAAAATTATTTCTCAAAGAAATCAGCAGTGGAGATAAAGTATTCCCCCTCTAATATGTATATTCTTTAATGTCTATATATACTGAATAATCTAGAAATCTAGTCAGATGAGAACTTTAAAACTTTTGGTCATAGACCATTTTAAGCATCCAGTAATCCTTGTCTCAGAAGTACAGGGCTAATGGTAACAATGGTTTTGACACTAAGTGAAGGTCAGCCTTGATGAGGAAGCTTAACTGAACATACTAAAGAAGTATCTGAGTGGATATTAGTTATGTTATATCTCACTCACCCCCTCTTTTATATAATTATATCTGGCATCTAACAGGGAACAATTTAAATACACCTATTTCAGAGAAAGTCAGTATACAAAATGACAAACGTGCAATTTTAAGTAAAAGAGGACATTTTAGAACTAAAATGGTGTCTAAATTGTTTTTATGTATGCTGTTAGACAATAATAATTACTATTCTTATTTTACTACTACCATTATGCTGCTGCTACATTAAACTATATTGCCATAGCATTCCAATGAAAAATATCGATTTTCAATTATAATGCATATCAATACATTCCAGCCACAGAAATACTTTTGAAAAGCACATATTTCTGGGTTCCAAGTAATAGACAGCCTTAGGAAGAAATCCTTACAATGACAATAATCCCAGTTATTGACTGGTCTTTGTAAGTAGCAAGTACTTTTCATGTTATTTCATTCTTCTCAACATTCTTCTATGAGGGAGGCATTATTCTATGCATTTTACATATGAGAAAAACTTAGACTCAAACTTTAATTTGCCTGTCTGAGAGCCAGAATTGAAACATGAGTCCATATGAACTCTACAGGCCATCCCCTTAACTCAGTAAATTCTTAAGGCTTTTGAGTCTGAACGCTGCCATTGGTCCTGTTTTTTGTATGTTTGTTTTTTCAGTAGGCTTATTCTGACTTTTTACTGATCCCAGTAGTTCTTCCCAGTGTATGAAACCAAGACCTGAAATAAACTTTTATGCTGTTCAGGCTAACAAGCTTAAGGCTCTATTTTTATAAAGCATTCACCATTTGGAAGATGGTTATCTAATAATAGACCCTGTGTGATTTAATCTTCTTAAATATGCCAAATGTTTTCAAGCATCCTACTCAATGTACTAATCTCTAGAATTGTGTTCTAATTTCACCATAAAGGTTAAAACAGATATGTAAATAAACAGATAACTAATTTATTTCATTAAATAATCAATTATAAAGCATTTGTCATTTGTTATATGCAAAACACTATGAAATTCTATAGTCTGTCATAGTGCAAATAAATTTAAAAGTTCAAAATATGAAGGAAATCTGGAAGCATGAATATTCAGATGAAATAACAATATATGATAATAAAAGTAATAAATGAAGAGCCATCACATTATGAATAAATTAGCCAATGTCTTCCTTATCAGAAACCAGATACTATTTCATGAAAAATTCCTTCTTCTTCAAACTGCATGGTCATTAGTGCCTGTAGACAACAATGACTGAACATACTGTATGTTCAGCTATTCATGCTTCAATCCAACATCAGGAAATTATTTTTGAGAAGCAAATGAAGTATTTGTATAGGAATGTATCTTACTAATTGTTCTCACCATGGGACTTAAAAGAACTTCAGATATTTATTTGTTTATGCTGTTCCATCATCTTTTTATCTGCTGTACAGATCTGTATGACTTACTAATGCTTCTCCACCACCACCCATGTAAGCTGGAAGCATCTCAATTTAAAATCTGTTTACTGGAGTTCTGTGTATCTATGGTTGTGGATAGCTTCCATTTGCTCCGCCTTTCATTCTAGGTCCATTCTCCACGCTTCTTCACTCTACAGTCTGCTTTAGGAGGCTGGCTTCCATGTTCTCTGGCTTCTAGTTGTTGAGCTAATGGGGAATTCTGACAAGTTATGGGAGGGAAAGGGTCAAGAATATTTATCCCCATGTATTCTTCCCTCAAAAATTATCTCAGGTTTGCTGTATTCCTCTACTGAAGGTTAACACTTATCTCCAGAAAACATTCTCTAACTGCTCTCTTTTTCCAGCCCCTAATCCCTTTGGCTCTAGGGGTGAAATGCAAATGACCAAGAAGCCCATGAAAAGATAGTTGACATCATTAGTCTTTAGTGAAATGCAAATCAAAACCACAATGAGATACCACTTCACACCCAACTGTTGGCAAGGATATGGAGAAATTAAAAAGAAATTCTGGCTCAAGGCTGGTAGGAACGTAAAATGATGCAACTTCTATAGAAATCAGTTCAACAGTTTGGCAGTTCCTTCAAAACATAAATATAGTATTACATTACGACCAGCAATTCCACTGTTATGTAGATACCCAAAAGAACAGAAATAGAATAGAATAGAAAACAAGAGCTCAGATACATAACTTGTATGCCAGTGTTTATCGCACCATTATAGCCAAAAGGTGGAAACAACCCAAGTATCTATCAACAGATGAATGAATAAACAGAATGTGGTATATACATATAGTATAATATTATTCAGCCTTAAAAAGGAATGAAGTTCTGATACATGCTACAACATGGATGAACTGTAAAAACATCATGTTAAGCTGGAATAAGCCAAACACAAAAAGACAAATATTCTTTGATTCCACTTAAATGAACCATCTAGAATAGGCAAATTCATGGAGACAGAAAGTAAATTAGTGTTCTTAAGGGCTGAGAGAGGAGAGAAGGGGAGTTTTTCTTAATGGGTACAGAGTTCTATTTGGGATGATAAGAAATTTTGGAAATAACTAGTGGTGACAGTGAATGTACCTAATGCCACTGAATTGTACACTTAAAAATGGTTAAAATAGCAATTTTTAGAAAGTTCTAGGGTTTGATATGTTCAGACTATCCTACTGTCCACAGTTCATCTGAGCCCTACAGTTTCTGGTCAAACAGTAGTGGAGATTCTTTCATAAGAGCTCTTCTGATCAGGGCTCATCTTTTTCCTTTGTAAGTATTAACATACACACACACAAACACAGTAATTTCCAAGCAAGTAACAAGTTTTCTTCTAAGTTGAAATCAGTGCCCTGCAGCTGGCAGAGTCCTATTTTGAAAAGATTAAGAGAGCCCGAGTTGAATGCTGTGAAAAGGAAGCAGAGGTGCCAATTCTAGTTATAGAAGTTACAAATTATCTTTGCAAAAGTTTATGGTTTTTATGTCAAACCCATATTTGGACTAGGGACCTTTTTACTTACAAAACAGTAGATGCTGATTGTAATTTTTCCAGTTTTACATCTCCTGTTAAGATCTAGTAAAAGAGCTAGACTGAAAATCCAACAAATAAAAATAGTAAGTAAAATAGACTATAGCTTAATAAAAAGGCTCTCATATTTCATTTAACAAGTAGCAAAATATCACTGAGCAACTACAAGAAAGAAAAAAAAATGAGCCACTTATCTAGTGTGTGACAGTATTAAAATCACCCATTTGACATACAAATTAGGACCAGAGTGTCTCTTGTAATACAAATATGACGGATTTACTCTATAATGGCCAAGTGTATTGAATATATTATCTAAAATTACATAGGACAAGGCAAAACAGATCTGAGAATTACAGCTTATTTGTGTACCTGACTAACTATAATTGGAAGATATATGATCCCATTTTACTTATGTATTCATTAACTATTTCCTGTAATTAGAGTTGATTAGCAATTTATTGGTTTCTTTGTAATTACCACTTCATAAGGCTCTTGTATTTGGCCTAGCTACCACCTTAAATACACCAGGAAGGCTTTAGGATCCGCCATTTCTTAGCTAGCTAAAACACTGCTTTTCCCCTGAACAGGGCAAAAAAGGAGGACTACAAAGATCTTAGTTTAATTAGGGTACCACATAGGACTTCTCTGTATTAAGTCCTACTGAATCTCACTTGTCAGGTAATCTTTAATTCACCTTATAGTACAGGTTAAATAAAGCAGTGAGCTATTATATAATCAAGCACATCCAGATATTCTGAGAACAATGTCATGTCAGCATCAAGGAATGCCAGGTAGACTCAAGTGAGTGGAGTCCTGAGTCTCGGAACTGGGTACTGCTGCTCCAAGGGTGGGTCAGATTTTGTGCTGATGCT